GGGCTTGCAAATGCATCTGTGGCTGCTCTTACTTCTCTCTTTGACTTCAATTTCTTCCACATTTCTTCATCAACAGTAAGCACATCTTGCCCGTATACTCTTACCATTGCTGTTGCTACAAATGCTTTCTCCCAGACGTTAGATGCAACTTTAGCCAGTTTCTTATTACCTGGATATGTTCCATTATGGACTGATTTGAAGCCTTTATAAATTGGATTAATGATTTTACTTGTAAATACCTGGAAGACCGTTTTGTTGTGTGGTTGTAATACTTTAGTGTAACCTGCATGTTCAACTGCGGCTGCGAATTGCGCGCCTTGTTCATTTCTATTACGTAATAGTCTAACACCTCTCTCATCATATTCAGGGTTGTACATATCATTAACGAAGCCTTTGAATCCCTTACCATATTCTTTTCTTTCATCTTCTGTTGGGTAAGCAGAGTAATATTTATATCTATATGGATATGTGCTGTCGACGGTAGTATAACCGTTAACTATGATGGGTCTATTTGTTTCTCTTTCCCTAACAATAATATCTGCTATTCCATCTCCATCTTCATCATCACCGGTTACATGATAGATATCGCTAAATCCATGTTTATCTACCCATCTTTGCGCGCCTACAAGACTTTGTGCATTGTTGATTCTCCTGATGTCCTGTTTGCCACTAAGAACGGCTGGAGCGATTCTACCCATTTCGGCTCCGTATGGTTGCTTTTTTGGTTTCACTCTACGAGGTATTGGATGTTGCCTAAAGTAGTTAATAGCGTCAATACTGTCATTCAAGTCTCTATGGTCAACACCTGTTTCTTCTAAACCCTGTCTGAATTCATTCATGCGGTCTGTAGTGAGAAAGAGTGGATGTTGTCTTTGTTGTGGTTGGTCCATTTGTGTTTGCCTTTTATCACCAGATAAAATATTATTTTCGGTGTTTACATTTTCATCATCGTCGGAATCTGACGATAAGTTGAATGGAACAACACTACTTCTCTGATTAGGCGTTGTTGGCTTTATTACATCCTCGAATGTTTCTTCTACTAAGTTATACAGAAAATCAAATATATTGTTTGTCGTTACTTCATCACTATTGAAGTTGTATGTAGCTAAGAAGTCTCTTACTCGCTTCACATTTTCGAGGTACCTAGTTGATTCCCTGACATCTCCTGCATAGTCATCCATATATACCGAAACGTGTTCTCTTATGTATCTCAGTATTCTCGTTACTGTTTCAGACCCTAGAGATTTTATTTTATTGAACAGTGACATTTTCCTGTAACGAAAATGCAATTATCCCTGGCAACAAAAGGAAATTATTCGAGCAACATTAATATTTGGAATGATTTTTGTCCTGCGGACAAAACCGCTCGCTGCGCTGCGCTCCGCTCACTATCATGTCCAAACAGATTAACGCTTTCCTCGATGGTTTTGCTTTGTACATATCTCAGTAAAGAAACAGAAAAGTAGCGTATAGAAATAGCATGAATGGCTAGGAAGTGATATGTGAATGTTAGTAATGTATGCGCCAGAAAAACGCTATATCTCAAACACGAATAATTTATTTTTACTTGGGTAAAAGGGAGCACTACAGAAAATGTCAACAGCCGCAACAAGCCAACCATTAAAGGAACTTTCATACGATTATTTATTGTTCCTCTCATCACCCAATTACTTGCCATTCGAATATAGCTATTATGTATGTGAATACGTTAGACATGAAAGGTACTTAGATATATACAAGAGATGCCAGATAGGCCATAGAGAGATATTAATGAAGATAGATGAAGAGATAGAAGAGATAAGAAAGGTGCTATATAAATACCTCTGTGAAACAAAAACTAATTATATGTGTAACCGCGGTTACGGACAAGAATGTAACGTGATGAATTATCTTGAATGTAATCTTACTGGAGGTGCAAAGGAGATGATAGAAAAGCTTAAGCAGGCCAGAAATAATAGGAAGAAAGAATTCGAAAGGGAAAAGAAAGAGCAAGAAGAAAAGCAGAGAAATCAAACAAAAGAACATTGTAATGCCATGCATGAACTAAAGAAACTTGCATGGGATAAAAACGGTACATATGCGTACCAACAAAACAGCCTTGTTAGTGTCAGTCAAGAATGGCTAAATGAAGTGAAAAGGCTATTAGAGTTAGCAGGAGAGAATACCAGTTACGACAATATTATATACCTAATATCATACCTAGCAGAACAAACTGATTGATAATTTTTTTCCGTATAAAATAGACGGCGACATTGAAGTGACAAAAAATGATGTTGTCGTGAAATTGAATGAAACGTAAATGTCCTGAGTGAAAAGTTCGTTGTTAATAAAAAACAGGTGTTTTTAACGAAAGCATAGTGCGGGCAGTAGAGTATCTGGGAAGGTATGCAAAAACGCGAATTTTACAACTGTGACGAAAAAATGAATGGGCTACGGGGTTTGGAGGGATGTTTGGCTGTAAGCCAGACATCACTCCAAATACTATTGATGAATATTTAATAAAAAACTTAAAATTATTCACTTGTTATATTACTTTATATAATTTACTATTATTTTTAATAGGAAACAAATAAAAATATATTTATATATTTATTATTTATAAATATATTAATGTTTTATTTTTGAGAACAGTAAAATAATTTGTGAAAACTTTATTTATAAATTAACCTTTTTTTTTATTAAGATTTGTTATGTTAATTATATTCAAAATAAAGATTTTTAGAAGATTGTTGAATTTCTTAAGCGTCATCGTTTTTTAAATAATATTTTATTTTTAAATAACTATTTTATGTTTATTATTAAACAATTATATATCATTTATCATAAAAATATTCGCAATAATTATAAATTATTGTTTATGAACTGATTGAGAAGAAACTCAGAAAAATATTTTCAATGGAATTCTATTGATTATTTTGATTTTTTCTTCTCATTGAATTTTGAGAGGAGAAAACTTAAAATCAAAATAACTATTTGAGGATAATTAGAAATGATATGGTTTATAAAATATTTTATAAATAAATAAAAATCAAACTATGTCTTCGGAGCAAGGATATTTCAAATATAAAAAAAATCATAAATATGAGATTTTTTTTTTTTTTTTGTAATTTTGCTTTTATCATCATATAAATAATAAATCATATACTTTTAAATTAAATATAGACTATAAAATAAATTAAAAATACATTATTATTAAAATTATAGATGTTTTAAATCTCCACTTTTTGAGAGTACAAACGCCGCCCTTAAAATTTTACAAAATAATCGATTCAATTATTCAAAGGTTAATCTTAGAAAGATTTTGATTTTTGTGAAAAACTTGGTAATTGAGAGAACTTTAAAAATAATTGAATGAATTAAAAAAAGATAATAAAAATGAATGGAGAAGTCTAAATGCGGAAAAATAAAATGAACATTTCATTTTTTAATTAACAGAACAAAAACAAAAACAAATGAATATTTGTGTTAAAGAACTTGGTTATGCAATGATTCTCTTATTAGGTCCAATCACATTTGGAACCATTATGTGTTATCCTTCCCCGACTGGAAAAGAAATCCGTGAACACTTCGGATTATCAGATAATGCTGCACAATGGTCTTTTTATAATTCAGTTTCATCATTATTCGCAATTGCAGGTCCTTTTGTAACAGTTGGTTTCTTGAAAGCATATCACAATTCAAGAAAGAAAGTTGTCTTCACATGTGCCTGCCTCGGTGTTGTTTTCTGGTTGCTCAATTGCCTCACAAAAGTTAATATTTGGGCAGGTATAGTTATCAGGTTATTCTTAGGAGTTGTCATGGGCGCTTATTCATCAGTCAATCCAATGTACTTAGTTGAAATTGCGCCAGAAGGAACAAGTGGATTCTTTGGAAGCTTGAATCAAATCGGTATCGTCATTGGAATGGTTTTCTTTGATTTTATCGCACCATCATTAAATTACATGGATTTGAATTACATTGGTGCCGCAATTTGTGCATTGCAGGCATGTTTAATTTGGCTGGTTGAAGAATCGCCCGCCGTTGAAAAGATTAATCATGATGAAGAAGAAATGAAGAATAATGAGCATGAAAAAAAGAAAGAAACATTATGGCAAAAGAAATATGCATTCGGATTATGCTCAGGTATCTTAATGATGTTGTTCCAACAATTCTGCGGTATCAATGCTATATTAACTAATCTTTCTGATATCATGAATGATTCAGGTTTAGATATTGACGGAAACTATCAGGCAGGAATTGCAAGCTGTGCACAATTGATTGCTGTTTTCGTTGGCGCAATGATCATTGACAAGATTGGAAGAAGAATTACAATGATTATTTCATGCTGCATGATTTGCGTTTTCTTATTGATTTTCGCATTGAATGTCAAATATGATTGGTCAAATGTTTTACCTTTAATTTGTATCTTCTTATATCAATTAGGATTCGGACTCGGAATGGGACCAATTCCATGGTTCATCATCCCAGAATATTTCAATGATGATGTTCGTTCAATGGCTACAATGATTGTTACAGCTGCCAATTGGATCTTTTCATTCCTTGTCATCATGGTCTGGCCATCAATGAAGAGTGGAATGGGAATGTTTGGTGCACTCATTTTCTTCTTATGTATTTCATTTTGTGCCATCATATTCTCCGCTTTTTGTGTTCATGAACCAAAACCTCAAGAACAAGAAAATGATGAAGACAAAGATATTGAACAAAAAGATTCAACTGAACAAAAAGAAGAGGAAGATGAGCCCGAAGCTTTATAAATTTGAATATAATTTAAATTAACTTTGTTAATATAAATTATTGATAGAGAAAAATAGATTAATTAATAAAATAGTATTTTTTTAAATTTTAAATTAATGTTATGCTTTTGGATATTTGTAGTAAATAGAGTGATTTAATTTCGAAAATTGTTTTCTGTTGAAGATAATATAAAATGCTTACAATATATTTTAAAAATTTACTATTAAATCATAAAGATCAACAAGTTTAAATGAAAATAAACGAAGTGATCGGTGGTGTAGTGGTAGCAGTATAAGACTGTCGTTCTTATGGCCCGGGTTCGATTCCCGGCTGATCAGTTTTTTAATCTTTTTTTATACGATGTTACTTATTGGATAATGAAAAGCTTGAATGCGAATAATGAATGGGGAAAAAAAGGTAATTAACTCTAAAATTTATTTCAGGAGAGCGAAATTGAACAATATATATGACATTTCTTCATTAGTATATGTTATGATTATAAGCATGTAGATTGTTCCACAGTTAAATGCATGTATTACTTCGAGTTTGCGGCATCTATGATTGTATAAAAATTAAAATGTATTATTCAATAGATAAATGTCCATATTATGGTGTAAAATTTTGTGACTAAATTTGAATAAATAAATGGCCTATTGATTTTGACTGTTATTTATTCAAATTTATTGCATTATACCAGATCTTTTAGAAGAAAATATTAAACCTTTTGGAATTAAAAATCCTAATAATATAAGTTTTCCTGTTTCAGCACTTCAAAGTTTCCTTTCGTTACCAAAATTTATTAATTGTATTAACTCTTTTATAGAAAAAAATTAGAATCCCTTTTTTACGGAATTAAAAAAAATTATTCAAGATAAATACCATAATCCAACTAACTTTATCAGAAGACTTAAAATGAAATGCGCAATTACTGATAATCAATTTATTACGTTTGTTGATAATTTTATTAACGAACTACCTAAAAGATTTATTTTATGGTAAAGGTGTTTATATTAAAGAGTGTGGAAAATGCGAGCTTCCTAATGGAGAAGATATAAAGTTCAAAGTAGTTAAATTGTTATCTAATGATCCCTTCAAAATCATATTCATTCCATATCAAAACAATAAAAATCCAATAAACATGTTTGAAATGCCAGATAAAAGAAAAAACTACGTTTTGATGTCTGAAAAAGCAAATGAATTCGATGTTATAAAAGATATTTCGCCCAAATATCCTCATATATACGCTTTTGAGTTACCTGAAGCAGGCCCAAGTCGAGGAAATGTGTTTGTTATTATTAGATTAGTACAAAATGGGGGATTTTATGCAGAGCCAATGCTTTGTGAAGTTAAACGAGGTCATATTCCTAATAAACTAACTCTAAAAAGGAGTATTCAAGAAAGAATTAAAAATCTTTTTGATGCAAGATTAAAGTTTGAAATACCTGGTGATCTCACATTTTTCATGCCATCTGGAGATAATCCATCTATTTGTGAACAATTTATTTCGGTGAATATTTCAGAGGGTTCACTCCGTTATAATATAAAAGCTGTTGATGACAAGAGTGCAAAACTTTCCCTCAAGAGCTTGTTTAATGGTTTCATAAAATTGTCATTATATGACAAAGAAGTCAAATGTAATGGTTGTGGAAAAGTTTCCAGGCCTTTTGCAAGATATCGGATTACAGATTTTCCAAAAATTGTTGTGTTTCGAATTGATTGTTATGAAACCCAAAATTCCAATTTGTTTCAACTTCAAATACCAGAATTTGTGGCATTTGGTTGTGACACGAATGGATACAATACATTTGACTCATTAGCTGACCCAAGTCTCTACAAAGGCCTTAATATCTCGGGTGTTACACTATATGAACTTCGTGCAACGATCAATCGTAACTCAAACAACCAGTTCACAGCAGCAGGAAAACGAGGAGATAAGTGGTATGAGTTCAATGACACCTTAGTTAATCCAGTAGATGATCCTTCAGAAGCTTCAGGAACGCCATACATCCTTTTCTATGAAATTATAGGAGATGAGAAGCAGCCAATAAAATATTTTCATAATTCTACAAGGTCGATGATTGCAAATATTGATAGGTCAGTACAAACTAATGCCAGCGAAATCATTGACTTTTTCCGCGATAAAACGAAAGATCCAACAATTAGTGGTTTTAAATACAATGGAAAGACGTATCGTTATGGTGACACTACATCAGTAAATGGCATCTTTCCGATTGGAAGAAAAGAAGACCCACAAATTGAGCTGATCGTCTCAAATGCAGCATATCGTCCTTCTCCACCATCTTCGCCGCAATCTCCCAAAAATCCCCCGAAAAGTCACGATATGGTTGAAATATCATCCAAGAACTATGAGAAAATAGTAAGTCGTGTCCGTTTTCTTGAGAGCAATCTCAGCAAAATCAAACAAGTTGGAGCATTTAATTTCAATTCTTATGAATGTGATATCGAATCCAGCCAAGAAGTGAAGAATTATTATGAGAATCCCTATATTGGCGAAGAATCAGAATCGTTCTATATTATTTTGGAAGATCTGGAAGAAGGTGAACTTTATAAAGCATTCAAAGTCATTGACAAACGAAATTTACAAATCATGTTCAAAAAAGTTCTTAAAACAGATGAAAATATTGACGTAGAAACGATACAAAATTCAATAAAAGAATTCGAAACACTTTTTGAAATCAATCATCAATGCATCTGTAAATGTTTTGGAATCAACTTTCGTGAAAAAATTGATGATGCTCCAAATAAAACATCAATTGGAATTTATCTTGAATATCTTGATTACAACTTGAAAAATTTTCTTGATAAAGGAATTCTTTCTAATACAATGAAAGTTAAGATTTGCGTTGAAGTTGCCTCAGGTATGTCATGCATTCACAAGCGTGGAATTATTCATCGAAATCTGAACACTGAAAACATCATGATGAACAAATTATTTGAAGCAAAAGTGATCAATTTCGGCTTTGCACATTTGAGTGAAACATACTTGATTGAAACAAACACATCGTTAACAAAAAATATTGGAGATTTTGTATTCATGTCACCAGAAATGCAAGGCGATGATGATTATGATAATAAGACAGATGTTTTTTCATTTGGTGTTGTTCTTTACAACATTTTCACAGGACAAGTTCCAAATATTACAATGAAAGATCGAATAAATAAAATTCCTCCAACTTTTCCTTCTTCATCACCAATGATTTCAGAATGTTGCATCGAATTAATCAAGAAATGCATGTCATATGATGTAAAAGAAAGACCAACTTTTGATGAAATTCTTGATTTCATGAAAGATAATTTATTTAAACTGGCTGATGAAGTTGATATTGAATTAATTTCTCAACGATATAAAGAATTAAATCAAGCTAATAATGATTAATACATTCCATTTGAGGAATCGATAAATATTTAGAAGAAAAAAAGTGTTCTTTTACTTTTTATTAAAAATCTTTTTATTAAACTTATACTTCTTTATGATTTTTAAGCATCGAATCAGTTATTATGATATAAATGTTTTAGATCTTGTAATATATTTTCAATTTAAAACTCATAAAATTTCTCGACATCAGCGCATACAACCAGCGAGTGAACAACGGCGCTTACTCGATCTATCGGATTCTGAGCAGAGAGAAGCAGATTGAGAAGCGAAAAGCTGTTGTCTTTCTGAAGAGTTGCGGTGTTTTGCTGATGTTCTTGATTGTCTTCCCAGAGAACTACCCAAGCGATGAGCCTTGCTTCAAACTTATCTCAAATGCGAAGATTGAAGGCGAAGTCTCAAGTTCCATGTTTCGCATCGACATGTCTGATTATACAAATGAAACCAGACTGAAGGTGCTGCTTAGCAAGTTGAACGATAGACTCAAAACTTTCAAAGTTACACCCAATAAAGATGACACATTGGAGAGTTTTGACCAGATTGAAGGAAGATTTTATGTTCAGTACGGAGAAAGAGAGAAATCAGATGGTTATTTCCAGAAATTAGAAAAAGTTAGAAGAAGATATTATTAGTAATTGCTTATTAGTTTAATAAAACATATTTTATTATTATTATTATTATTAAATTGTTTAAAAAAAAAAATGTTAGTAGACTTTTTTTTGAACAATTTGGAGGACCTTTTACAACTTTCTATCCCTTTCGGTCGTATGCCGTAATTGAAGATTTTTTTATGTAAAGTATTCAAAAAGTTGCACTTTTGCCGTGTGCCGTAGAAGTTTTGTATAATAAACTATTGATGATGGTATTTTCAAAACCTTTAATGAATTCGTTCTAAAAAATGTTCCTGATCCAAGTGTTTCGACTGACGATGGAATGGTTATTTCTTCCAAAGATGAACAGCAACCAAAAGCTTGCGTCCCGATATTTTTCACTGAAGATGGAATTGTTACTTCCTTCAAAGAACTGCAATGGCTAAATGCAAAATTATCAATTGTAACAACTGAAGATGGAATCACCATTTTAGTCAATGATGTGCAAGAATAAAAGGCATCTTCTCCAATTGAAGCCAAAGAAGCAGGTTCTTCAAATGTTATTTCACTCAACAAAGTGCATCCACTAAACGCCCAACGGCCGATTGATGTGACAGATGAAGGAATAGTTATTTTTGCCAAAAAAGAACATCCGAAGAAAACATAACTCTCAATTTTATTCAATGAAGAAGGATGTTCAAATATAACCTCATTCAACATTAAACATTGTCCAAAACACCATTCTCCAATTGATTCTACGGATGAAGGAATTGAAATTTTTGTCAATGATTTGCAACCATTGAAAGAATTGTTTTCAAAGGACAAAACTGAATTAGGAAATGTAATTTGAGTCAATTTATAACATTGACCAAAACCATCAATTTTATCAATGTGTCTATAAGATGCTAAAATATTCATTATTTCTTGATTATCATTCTTTGCAGCAAGTTTAAAGCAAATTTCATTTAAAAAAAAAAGTTTTATGTAAATTAATTCATCACTTGTGTCAATGTTGCTTGAGTTTAAAAAGAAATTTACAATTGTCAAATAATCGTACTCGCATGCATAATTAAAGATATATTTTGTTTTAATTTCTTCTGGGAAATAAGTAAAATTATAAAAGTTGAAACAATATGAAATAATGTTATGATCATAGTCTTTCTTAAAATCAATATTATCATAGTTTTCATATCTGTTGTCAGTCAAATTATTTTCAATGTAATTAAACATAAGATGATTATGACATATAATGCTTTCTTTAATACAACTTTCATAAGAATTATTTGGTGGATTAATATTATTGTCTTCCAAATAATGAATTATTTCATCATTTTGACCATGAATCGCATAAATC